CATGCTCCTTCTCGAACCCAATTTAAAGCACTATTAGACATTTATTTATGCGAATCCTCGCGCTGGCTTGCATGCTGCCCCGCGCTGAGAACATAAAGAGCAGTGCTACACCCTTTTTTCACTTGTGCCTTTCAGGTGAACGACAGCCACTGACCGACAAGAACAAAACCGACCCGGGAAACGTGGGCAAAAGCCTCGATCCTGTGTATCAATCCGTGAATCCGTGAATGTCACGATTCCGCTGCCAATCATGTTGATTAATTCCCTAATTGGCCAGGTTTTAGCCAATCAAGTCCGAGCACTTTAGCTGGGCGCTTCACGTCCCATTACGAAGATCCTGCTGTGGTACACGGTGTAGTATACGTTGTCTGTCAGTTTGATTGATTCATTTGTAAGTATTGGTGATGTACAACCTTGCTTACTGGGCTTTGGCTCATGAGCTTTTTTCTGTTTTCCATCCACAGAAATTGTCGTGAACACTTGCCTTCGGAGAATCACTGTCTCCTGGTGCTTCCATAGCGTGCATATTACCCCTGCTGCGAATTTGGTAACCCAGTGGTAACCCTAGCAGTATGGTTCTACCAATCTTACGTTGACTCTAATGAAGGCTGTATTAAGTTCTTTTGCCTTCTTATATACGGGGGTGGGCGGACTACCGAGTGAAGAACCAAAATGTGGTCTGTGATACTGTTTGAAAGCGACTTTGTTGTTCCTTGTGATCTTGTTAAAATTGTTTCATCTGGGATGCGTAGGCCAGAGTTCACTGACAACCTGAAAATACCGGTGTAGACGACACATCAGCTTGTCTTCCAGGCGTCATTTTCAAAATTTGGTGCTCTCCGAACGGTTGTCACAAATACAGCAGCTACCAATTCGGGATGTCAGAAAATCTTCGTTCCGCCACTGTTCGAGTCTGGTGGGAACTTAGGTATTGTAATTCTGAAGTTCGTGGAAGAGTTTTCGGAGGGCTTAAGTCGCATGCAATGGCTCGGTAGATGATACATGTGTATTTTGTCACGAGCCTCGTATGCCGTTTGACCGTCTTCTTATTACCTCTCTTCGCACAACTACGGGGAAGGTGAAGACGAGCCAAGAGAAGCCGAGCAGTTAACTCAACGAACTATGGTTGCTGATACGGACAAACTCACTGCGCTGGTCATCTCTGTCTCCCCAGATGGGAACCCCAGAAAAACTCATCAATAGTTAAACGCATTGGTAGCCGTGAGCTCAGGGGTGCGTAAGCATCAAGGTATAGCTTCCCCTGTCGATCTGTCCATCCGTCAAGAGCTCACTACCATGTGTTGATCCTCTCGTCAGTAATTGGTACCTTCAGCTTTTCACTCCTGTTCTCCAGATCATCAGCGAACGAAATATAGACATCTAGAGCCGAAGCGCGCAATTTTCAGCAGGCGCTGTTGATGGCTGACTTTGTATTTTTAACCGCTTTTTCCATTATTTCTCCATTAACAGCCGTACGCTATCCACGTTTGATGTACAAATTTCTGCGACAGGGATTCCAGGACTTTCCCACATCCCTTGGGCCAAATGGCGAAGTTATACTAAATTTGGCCCGTTGTGAACTCGAACGCATCGAACAAGTACCACAAAGTATTAATGTACTCATCTTGGATTACAACTACATCCGTCGACTGGAGAATTTGGCTAACTTGTATGATTTGCGACAAGTAACGGTCCTTTTATCACTATTCTTTTATGTCTCCTAAAGCTTTCAGTTGCTGGGAACAAGCTTTTTCAGATGCATGGTGTTGCACCCTTGGTCAACTTGACCATTCTCAATTTGCCACAGAATGCGATTGTCGCTATTGATGGTGCGTCTTTTGGTAGCTCCCTGGTTGATCTTTTCCAGGTTTAGCGAAGTTGACACAGTTGCGTTGGCTGAATCTCTCTGGAAACCGACTCAAGGTACGCAGTTCGTCCATTTCAGTTCTACTTCTTGACAGTCTATCGAACAGCTGGAGAATAATATCAACTTGAAACATCTGGATCTTTCTGAGAATCACATAAGCCAACTCACAAATATCTCTTACTTGGTACGGTTAAAAGTATGGTTCAATTTAGCTTCGACAACCATTACACGCCCTCTTTCGGACTGGTAGACACTGCTATTGCACTGCAACAGAATCCAAACACTAGTGGATGCTGACAGACTACTACCGCAGTCACTGGAAATTTTTTCTCTTGCAAGCAATCTGATGGCGACCATTACCGATGTAAATCTGCCAAATCTGCCACATTTCCATGCTCAAATTTATAGGTTCAGCATCTTAGTCCATTGCCAAACCTCGTTCAATTTTCCATTCAGAACAATCCTTGCACTGCCTTTCCGTATCCTTTTACATATGTTCTGATCCATCCAAGGTCTAATCCGAATTTTCTGATCCCCAAACTTTGTACCAAGGAAATTTTTTGTTTGCTCCTCTTTTAAAATAAGTGAACTTTTCGGAGTGATGGGGACTAGCTACCCATTCACTGTAGCAAATGCTGACTGGGCACACTATTACGAACCGCCAGTACCCGCAGCAATGACTATCGCAGCTGACACATTGACGGGGAGTCAGCGCAAACTGGCCTTTATATCAGCCCACGGGCAAGAATTTTTACCAACATAGTTGGTTTGGCTAGGTTGACTAACTATTTTGCTGTGGCAGTAATTGCGGTCTGTCATAACGTCGCCCAGTCTAGACGCTGTTGACGATAGTGATGATTACGTTGGTCTAGTCACTTGAAGCACCTGTTGGGCTGAACACGATAAAATAAGATGGGCCTCGTGTGTTTTTAAAATTCAATTAACCACTGTTTATGGCGACAGCTCACGTCAATGTTCGGGTTGCTTTTAAAAACTGACTGGGTTACCAAGACAAATGGTGGCTGATATGGATGTGATATATGTGGTTGATGGACCACGAATAATCTGGAAATGTTGAGCTGATAGAGCGATAAAGCAGATTGCTCAGTCGGTGCAGTTGACTGGTAAAGTCATGGTAAGGACGCTGGATAAGGGCATTGTGGTTCAGTACAGGAATTTTTCTACTCGAAGAAGCAGTGGTAGCGACCGATCTAAACACGAAACGAAAAGCTACATGCTGCCGTGGCGGAGCCAAGATGACAGTATGATAGTACTGTTTTCTGAGCAAGTGACATAGAATTCATGCAGACTATATTAGAGGGACTTAAAAATATCGAACCATTGTCCTCCGAAACCAAACTTCCCTTTCCCAGTTGCGAATAATATTTATTGTTTCCGAGATTCCTAGTACTGAAAGGGGGTACTGTCTCCTTTTGTTTTTTTGCTAATTATCCCATCGAGTTGTGTACAGTCCAGAGGATTACGAACCGTTATTGTTGGCCTATCTACCGAAGCTGCAAATTCTAAACGGCGAAAATGTAGAGCCGGATACTCGGTGAGTACGATCGTATTCGGTATACATGTTGAGTCCGGTTTTACATTCAGTTCAGTCGTTTTCGGTTTTCAATGGTTAGGGTCGACACTCAAACGGGACGAAGAAAAATCTTTACGGAAAACTACAGATCTAAGCATTCCGAACATATTCCTTCTTGTTCTCAAAACGTGCATTATCCTTATAGCAGGTCTTACGAGCTTCCGTTTCCTCTTCAAATGTAAGTTTATTATAACCAAATTTGACATTTTAATTCATAGTCACCTGGCTGTGACATTATGTACAAACTTGGATGAGTGTCGCGAGATCTCTCCGAAGTCATTCTATAGAACACGTTTCCGATACGCCTGGGTTCAGCACCCCGTTGGACACTTAAGGATTCCTACTGAGAGGTCTTACACATAAATCACGATTATTTATGGCAAAACTCCAGTGGCGACACAAAGGAGCACCAGGTCGTGGCCAGTAAAACCTACAGGTTCGTTTAGACAGATCATTCTCAAGATCCCACAGTTTTAAATGTTAACCTTTTCTTCTCGCGAAGCTATCATTCTTTGCATTCGCATCGTCCGTATTTTCGAGCCAAATTTCCATGCACATCGTTCGGTTTGACAATAACGAGTCCACAGCATGTCAGCATGACACAGTGATCCAACACTGTGAGCTTAGAAATGTGCTACACGTACTCTGTCATCACAGGACGAGGTGGCCCAAGTTATCACAGCGTGGATTTACTGACCGGAAGGTCCGTGTCGACTTCCCCTGTCTAGGCTTGAGCAACCTGGCAGTACTCCAGCCTTCGTGCCTCCTTCTGGTGGTATGGCAGCTAGGCACCGAAAGGGCGCTATAGCTGATCGATTTACTTTTTATATTTATTGTCATCACTGATCATACTGTGCATTGTCCCCCTTTCCGGACTGATGAAGTAGGGTATGAATTGTTTTATCACACTACGAAGGCTATCACTAATGGTTTGTGCAATCCATTTGTCAGAATGAGCTCTGTGTGACCCTCAGAAACCTTGAGTAGTGTGTCATGTTCATACAAATTAATTGAGTTTCTCCTACCATTGGTATTTAAGTTGACCACGTGTGTCTACAAGCTTTGAATGTTAAATAAAATCTGAATTAAAAAATTCGTCGGTATTGAGACCATTTTAGTACACTCCCAAGGAAGCACCATAAGCAAAACACACCAGACCGGAACACTCGAAACGTCGTAAAAAAATGAATTGTTCAGCTGTAGCACCTTTTCGGTCTCTGGCTATCATGCCACCCGAATGAAACATGAGGGCTGAGATACTGCCAAGTTGCCCAAGCATGGACAGGGGAAGTCGGGTTCGAACCACGGACCATCCGGTTAGTAAATTCGCGCTCTGTCCACTGGACAATCTCGTCCCCAAAACGTTTTGGATGTTGAAAGTTATCAGGCTGTACACCTTGCGGTCAGAAGTTAGAATTTCAAGCTTTTGTTGACCCCCCTTCCCATAGCTTGACGTTCATATGAGATTGCATAGCCGGTGCTTAGCATATGCCACATTGCGTGTTGATGATAGTAAGTGCTTCACGTCAAAGTACTGATGTCGGCTTGTTATGTCCTGCATTTCTACTTTTCCTTTTCCCCCCTGTATCATAACAGCTAAAGTTGGTAGATTTGTCTAACTGATCTCACCCCCTAACTATAATCACAGTATCTCCTCTCAAGTTTGCCGTGCTCTTATGCGCAGTGTGCATGATTCGCATCTTTCATACTGTGGGTTGTTCACCATTGTCGCTGCATTTTTCCTCAGTGACAATGCGTTTTTGATACTCCAATCCTACCGGGTGACATTTTATAGCCTTAGCAAGCACTTTTAATCCTTCTGTCTGTTAAAGTTTCTCAGTCTCCGCATCGTGTCGCTTTGAGTGTATGTCATACTTGGTTGTCTACCAACGTTGTTATTGGTGATATTATTTCATCTTACTTGCTGGCTACCTCTGCTACCTGTGTGGATTGGTATGCGAAATGATGTCTCACAAAGTGGAATCAACTGAGGATGTTTGAGCATCTTTGTATGCCCAATAGTTGCTTCAGCATCAAGATCGAAGTAACTCTAACTCATTTCTTTTGTTCTGCCGCGGTTGTTTCACTTTTGTGATGCGGATGATCCCGTCAGGTTGCCGTTTGGTGGTGTGATTCGCCAACTTTAATTTTGGGCCCTCCTTCAGCATGTCTGACGTGTCAATATGGGACACGAGCTACACTCATTTTTTCACATTTTTGTTTCAGTGCGCGAGCTAAATTACTGAGAGTTGAACAGTTTTCATCTGAACCGGATTGTGCTAGCTCCGATCGCGAGTTGGTCATGCAGGCGTCCGTTTCTTCGGTATGTGTTTGATGGATAAAACCGGATATTCCTTCCGTTTTCCTTCATTTGCTGCTCATTTTTAGTCGCTTGATCTATAAATTCTATCACTCATTTTTCATTTCATGATTATTCTCCGTGGTGATAGCTCGACTAAATCAGTTGGGGCCGTCTTTTGTAACAGATACCGTATTTTGGAGAGCTACTCACCCCTACTTTCACACAAGCTGTCGACCTACTGACGCATGGTCATATCCTTTTGTTTATCGTCCAACTTTAACCACTACCGTGGACAGGACGTTTGTGTTATAATGTCATGCTGGCAATCGTTAGAGCAGCTGATTAGGTTTATCCGGTTACGGTGACAGGCGTGTACTAAGCGTGCGCAGCCATTCTTATACGGAAGGTAAGTACAAATGTGCATTATTGGTGCAAGATGGCACAATGGTTAGAGCGCGAATTTACTGACCGAAAGATTGGTGGTTCGAACCCGACCTCCGCATCTCAACTTTTCTTGTCTTGGCTTGGACAACCTGGTAGTACCCCAGCCCTCGTTCTTCCTTCGGGTGGCATGGCAAACAGGCACCGGAAGGGTGTTACAGCTGAATGCTTACCGGTTTTGAATGTAAATGATGATGACTGATGTCATGTAACGTAGCCAGCTCTGCTGCTCTGCCCCCTACCTTTGTTAACTATCATGTCTGCTTTCTTGGGTGGCATGTTTTTCTGCAGCAAGCCGTCGATTCAAATCCCTGTCCTGAATCCAGTCAGTTGGAACCTCCCTCGTTGGCCAAGAGTTGCACGGATCACCAGTTGCTCCCCAATTCAGACATCAAAAATCCACCAATATCACTGAACGAGAACCATATTCCTGGTGGTCTGCCAAACCACACCCAAGTCGACGGTAAGGAATCTTGTTTTACCAGAAAGTTTTTTCCACGATTTATGTGAGTTCATATTAGCCTTTGAATTATCCGCAACGCGTTGCTCATTTTTTGTGAAAAGGCTCGTACGATGTCTCATGAATTTATTCCTTATAGCCATTCTGATTTCCTTTGTCAATAACTCAGTTCGATGGTCCGATGTGACTTAAAAAGCATCCTGACGTCTCAAAACCCTATAAACCCTATAAACATAAATAAACATAAATTAGAACCTCCCACTTAACTCGTCTGTCTTTGGTGTCTGTTGCGCCAATTCTGGTTTACTTTTGACATCTGTTGGTGTCTTTCAACTCAACTATCCTTTATCTCGATTACCGGCTTATCTTCACGAACATCCAATGTCGCCTACGTCAAATAGGTGGCATCTTCGTCGAATCTGGGGGTGTACTTATGAATGTTTTGATCATCTCTTTTTTGTAGGTGACTTCAGTCAGTCATCCGAAGTGTCGCGATCACGATCTTCCGTAAGTTTCTCATTCGTTAATGCAATACAGTGTTTTGCCTGAACTTCATGACGGTGTACATGCAAAAACACTAATCGTCCTAAAACGAATTGGAATCACGTTCTAAATTAAGTGCCTGCTTCGGAGAACGAACAGAAGAGTCCAAACACACTGTGGACCCTTTCAAAACCACCAAATTATCCCCTGGATCCTGCCTTGGTGAGCTTCCAGCACATTGCTTTGCTCTCGCCGAGCAGAGTATAACTACATTTTGCACATTGGAGCGTCTTGTTCCACGTTTTCCGCGTTAAATTGTCACGTCTTCATTCTTTCCCCTCAGAATCCTCCGGATCCACTTTCTCAATGCGAGCTGTCACCAGCTGTCAGCAGGACTCAGTACACTGAGCATAGTGACCTCCCAGCAGTCTCTCTTCGAAGGTTTATTGAAGATGGTTCAGCCGCCATTCAGGATTCTTCTGATCATCAACACGAAAGCCCGAAGATCCAAGTCTTTGGTTCGCCGGCCCCATCTCCAAAGAAAAGCTCTTTCGAAGGGGCACCTCATATGTCACAGGCGTCCGAGGTGAGCAACAACCCAGTGGCGTCTAGCTTGCTGATGTCTGAATCCGTCTATCTTCCCGTGAGTGCACCTGTTTATCCAGCACGCAGTTCGTCTCCAGAAATTCCATTCATTTCAACACGCTCTTCGAAAGCCCAGTTTCAGTCATACTATCCCCATTCAAAACGAGGAGTCGATTCGCCGAGCACGGCAGGATGTAACGAGGATTCAACTCCTTGTCCAACAACCGGCGTTATTCGCAACAGCCTTGTCTATGGTCCCGGTCGGGAGCTGGACTCCAGCCGCACTGTTATACCCCCAGACCATCCAGTTGATTTTCAGGGTGCACCTCAGTCATCCTTTAGCATGACCCCTTTAATTTGGTACGTGACACAGACCTACTGCCTCCCTTTTAACCTTTTCGTTGTGGTTGGCATGAGTTGCCGTAGTTCCCTGCACTCGTCTGCTCTTTTGGAGACTTTTTATCGTTTTTTTTGCGTCTGATAATACTGATTTCATTGACTCCTCCACTGCAGAGCTTAGTATAGATTTCAAATGAAGTCAATATATGCAGTTTTTTCCAGTTGATTTACGCAGCGTGTTCTGGGAAATCCTTTGTAATTGTAACCACCAAGGACAACAGGGGTTCCGTGATGTCTGCAAAAAAGAGGAACTTCTGGAACATCGGGTAGAATATTTGAACAAGTTACTTGTTCACCCACCGCTTTACACCCAAACTGGTAGCCTGTAACAGAAATATCGACTGTGAACACGCATATCCATCACAAGAACAAGATGAGTGCACTTCCTTATCCAAGAGTAAACAAATGTTGTCCCGGCGATCTCCCATCTACTCTGTTTAAAGACTGGCGGACGCCCTAGTTAGTGCCTGCCTCACGTGGAGAAAACGGTCGCCCGAACACTTCGAGTTGGTTGATGGTGTTACCCTTCTTCAAGAAGAATGGACGTAGTAGCCACAGACATGAGAATCGGATCCTCTTCTTGAAAATGCTTCTATTATTACGGTTCTTGATGGCTTATGGTGGTAAGGGGACAGTTTACTCGTGAACAACCGAACAATACAGTCGTTCTGGGCAATCATCTAACGAACGTGTAGAATCCCATTGATCCGATCGCCGCCGTTGAGTTCGGAAATCAGCACCGACAAATTGGATTTCTACCACACCTACCGCTCGACGTTGCGAAAAGTAAAATTAGTGAAATTAGTGCTAATAATCACTCAGCTGTAACATCCTTCCGGTGTCTAGCTGCCCTGCCACTCTAGGGGATGATGCGGGCCGAGATACCGCCAGGTCGTTCAAGTTTAGACACGGGCAGTCGAGATGCCGGGATTTGACTCGAACCACGGGACTTTTGGTTTGCGAATTCGCGCCTTAATCACTGAGTTTTCTCGAGATCAGTGAAATCAGTACAACTTACTCTTACGCATTGGCGGGATTTATTGAATTAGTTAGTCTGTAAGTTGACTAATACCACCAATCGTCCGTCACATTCTCAGCTGCCACACCCCCACTTTAGTAGTTTACTATTTTTGCTGTAAGAACTACCCTAGGTGTAGTGTTTCCTTCTTGTGTTCGGGAGGCGTTCCAGTCCATTGACATCTGTTTTGTGTTTTTATCTCAGTTCCACGGAATCCACTGAGTATCAAGCTGATCCTCGCACCCCGACTACTCAGTCGGCGGATGTTCGAGTACCTGCTGCACACACCCAGATGATTGACAATGTGTATCTGATACACGATGAGGAAGACCACGAGGGTGAAGAACTGATCGGTGCACCATATCAATCTTCTCAAATTGCACCTGCTTGTATTCACATGTCTCAATCGTGTCACGCAGGCACAGTGGGGTCCACAACGAACCAACGATCAGGTCACTCGGTGTCAGTAGACTCCCAAGAGCTACTGTCTCAAGCAAGTCATGTGAATTTGAACGAATTGCTACTGCGCTCACACGCACAACCAGGTGAAGTAGTTGCGTAAGTCACCTATTTCAATAAACGGTTTAGCTTTGCTGGTAAACTTGGCACTTCGCACACTTATTCTTAAAATTAGGACGCCCTGACCAATGGAAACATAATTCTGTCTTCCCTATCTGATACCAACTTACAGGAAAAATAAGTTGTAGAACTAGAAGAGAAACAAACTCAGTTTTAAATGGACACCGTATGCCTTCTCAGCGAATTTCAATGAATACAACGAGGAAACTTTGGACACAGGGCCATGTTTTTAGAGACGTTACCAGAAATAAATTTGTTCGAAATGTGCAACACTGTCCCTCCTTTTGACTTCTCTCAAAGGTACGGTTCCTAAGTGCACTAAATATGTCATAACTGACTAAGATTCGTAGATGAAAAGCGCTACTGTTTCTAACTTTCTGTGCGACGTTCACGTTGTATCTGCTGTAATAAGCAACGACCGTTAACATGATTGAACTCTTCAGAGAACAAAGTCCATAAATATTCTCGTACAATAGCAGTCTTATTTCTGCAATTCGAAACACTACACATCATTTCCATTCTCGGCGCTTGCGTTTGGGTCAGAGCCCTTAATCCTCCCCCCATCACCCTCCCTTCTTCAGCTTCTAGCGCTCCTTCCCCAATCGGGATTTATTACATAGGAATACAGTGAGGTAGAAGTTAGAACAGCAACCAGTGTGCATGCATCACACCTTGAAGAATATCATGATACACAACTGTGAGTCTGAGTAATAGTGCCCTCTGTAGGTATTCCTCTATCGTACGAGAGAGAGGAGCTCAAAAATCTGTCCATATTCGTTGGACCGCATGCGGGCGAGGTGTTGGCACATTGTTAGGTTCGTCGCTTCCTTGACACTGCCTAACCAGTAAGATGAAGAAATGCCTCTGGTGGGACAGTATCGTCCCGGTAAAAAACAATCCAGATAGTATGAGGCGCCGCTCTCTGTTGCTAACCACATGAAACTGAGTGGGGCTAATTTTTGCCGATGCCTCAGACTGACATCAGGAGTTCATTCGATGTCTCTAGCTTGAATTAGCTCAGTGGTTCAAGTTCGAAGCTGCTGACTGGGAGATCCATGATATGAATCCAGCCATAGCCGTTTGATTATCTGTTTCGAGGTTTAAGCAACCTAACGGTGACTAACCCTGGTGAATCGCTCGAGTTGCACGGCAGTAATGCACCGGAAGGGTGCTGCGGCTGAATGATGTTTATTAATATCATTATTATCGTCGTTTGACAGAAAAGTGCTTCGTTGGGAGATGAATTTCTATTTGATCACCGTCCAGGAGACCTCAAGTTGTAGAGGTAACTAGGTTCCGTTACGTATGAGCAGGTATTCTAATGATGGTCTTTTTCTGTTCATTTACATCCTGTCACACAGTGTTCGTTCAAATAATTTTTAGTTCAAAATGTAGAGTTTGTGGGGATTCATCAACAACATTGAGTCAGCACTCACAAGATCTGGCTTGTCGTAGATTATAGAGTGTTATTGGACGCCGTTTAATGCTTTTTGACAGTATGAGAGCTGTGACCAAGGTTGCCACGACATTTTTCGGTATTCATATCTGGAGTCAACCGCTCAACAGGCTTGCTATGTTGACATATGTGGGCCCGCCCAGCTGGATGGTGCACAAAAAACCTCACTCCTATTGCTTCTACTTACAGCTGTTGCGCGTGGGCGCTTTGAACTTGGGTTAATTCGCTAACCTTCTGTCAGTGAATGATAAAATTTTTCCGTTTTCGTCGGGTGACATCCTTCAGCCCATTCTTCGTAAAAGTCAGCGCCTCTCTACAAGTGACTGCAATTTCGGAGACATTGAGATGACTGGCAGTGTAGAATTGAAGTCGTTGGAGCCACGCGACCTCAATATACCTCAACGGCTAAGGCCCCACACTGCTGACCGAAAGGTCCATGCTTCGAACTCAACCTCTTCTCCTCGACTATTTCTGTCTAAGCTTAGGCAGTATCTCAGCTCTCCTTCGGGTGGCATGGCGGCTGTGTACTGAAAGGATGTTACAATTGAGTGATAATTTGTTACTGTTTTTCATTAATATTCACCAAAGTCACCGGCGTTGTCACTGTTGGTAATCGCGGAGAGCCCCATTTGTGGGAGGATGCTTCATGTCTTAAAGTGTGATCGGTGATTTTATTAGGTTAGATGATTTAGAAAGTTCAGAACTGTGCATGACATCTTTTGGTTTGATCACTGTTTCAAGTTGAGCGATTCAGGGCTGAACTAAAGCAGCCTGTCATGTAGCAGTTTTCAGCATGGGCTAGTATTTATTAGGTGACTACTGAAATTTTTCTAAATTGTAGTTTAACACTCGTGGTACCAAACGTTTTCTTCAAGCAGACTAAATTTTATATCGTGCAGTACTAAGAAGTATGGCTTTGTGGAAGAGATCACTTCCAACCACTTGATTCTAACAAACGAACTGGAATTTATCAGTACTGAACAATAAGTGGACGGCCCGACTTGGGGACTGTACTAATTTACGTAGTTTGTATGCTTATCAGTCCAAAGTCCACATCAGTAGATATTTCATGGTCTCTCCAGAGATGATTTACCACCAATGTGTAGTCGCCATTGATTTCAATAGAACCACCTACTAAAAGAAAGTCATACGGAAACTGCAGGATAATAGTTCCTCCAGGGGTGAATTGCAGGGACCCAGAGCAGTGAGGCATTAAGTGCTTTTCGGAAACTCAAACTTCCAGTCTTAATGAGAGTTGGAACCGACGGAAATTGTACGTCCTCACTCATGCAAATTATTTTGGGGTTAACCGAAAGTCCAACTGAAAAATTCCTCATTTAAGAAACCGATCTTCAGCCGTCGAAGAATTTCAGCAACCTTATAAGTAGTGTACTTGATCGTATCTCGAATATCGTACCAACTGAAACGTGAGGCGACTTTTATGCAGCCTATTCAGTTGAAGAATATCTTAAGCGGCGCTTTCGGCCAGGATTGATTTGAGTTTTCCATTAACGTTAACCTAATTTGTAAATAAATGGATTTTGCCAACTGCCTACAATTTGATTTTTGTGCACAACACAAGTTCGACGACTTTGCCTATCTGACAAAACCCAAGAAGAGAGAAACTGATCGCGACTGTCCAATATTCTCCAGTAACCTTATGATAAGTGTATCCCATAATGAAAATAGTTGACGTGTGTTCTCTTGTATATCCCACGGTGGATAGTCTAGTGGAAGGTTCGTCTTCATAAATCCGTTTAGTACTCAATGTATTGTGTGCTTTTACAGCTGATCGTAGAACCGCATGGAGTGTACAGTGCATTCACTCAAATAACTTCTGTCTGATGGCATCAAGCGAGCATGGGTGAATTCCTTCTTCATAAATCAAGGGGTTTTTCCAGAACGGATCAGTTACATGTGAAAGGATAGTGACTGGGAAACCGTTGACCGACGAGTTCATTGCTCCCTTAAAGTAATCTCGCAAAAATCGTTCCGAAGAAAAACCCTAGTGTCTATAACCTAAAGGTGGCCACATTTCAGATAACATTAGTTTCACACTAATTTATGCGCCTGTAGTTGCCGCACTGCATTTTATCTCCACGAATGGGAGAGTAGGTGCAGGAGTTTGCTTGATAATCTTATTTCGCCCGCGGTTTACCATTCCACTTACGAACGCATCGGCACGTTCATTGATGACCCGGGTCCACTTCCTTTTTAGAGGATTTTTGCTTGCTTTCTATATCAGTTACTCCAGATCTTACAGTGTAGGTCAGTACTATGAGCTGTCACACCGAAATGGATACATGCGGTGCGCACTGTCTTATGATCCCCTAGATTCAAGTTTACTATCTTATTTACACATTGCTGTAAAGGTTTTCCGTTTTCATCTTGGAACGTTGGTATCCCGTAAAGTTTGTTTGTCCTGACGTTCCAAATGTTTTAGTGCAATATGCCTCCTGTTCCTGATTGAAATTTCTTGTCGGCTTGGCAGTTGCCTTTCATGGTTCCGTAGTTCCTTGTTATTTTGGTGCTTTTTTCGTTCTCAATATTTACAGACGATCCCTGGACTCATGGATGCAATCCTACATGTTTTGTTCACCTGCAGGAAACTCGGCGAAAACTCGCGGTGCAGGTGAGCAGAATTTCCTCATTTGCTGACTTATTGATATTATCACTGTTCTCCGCAATTAATCCGTCTATCTGTTTGTCTATCCCTTTATGTTGTATCTGGATTTGGTTCCAAGATTATATGCCCTAGCTATATCTATCTCTCCAAAGACCCACGCTTTTGGATATAACCTATTCTTGAATTTCTCGGATACCTCAATATAGTAAGACTCGGAATGTCGATAGTTATGGCTCTTAGTGTATACAGCATATATTCCGCACTTAGTTATATCAATTTATCGTGGATGTTGTGCCTGAAGAATGTCAAACAGATGAGAACAACACTACGGTCTAAAATGCGATGAACTTTTTCAGTTATGACTGAAGCTTCGCTCTGGTGGTTCCAACTTCGAGTTTCGCTCATTCTTGACGTTAATGAGTCTATTGTATGAAGGACAGAGCCGTTTGTTTGTACACAGCTTTTTCTGGCGGTCTGTTAGCGGAACACGAACCAGTCCATAGTCTTGAAGTTTTGAAGCAATAAACGAATTCGGGTAAGGTAGTCTGTACGTACCGTTGCATACTCATACTGAAACATCTCATGCCCTGATGTGTCGGTTCAGAATTGCCTACTGTTTTCCAGTTTACGGAAATCGCACTCCAAGCCATTACACAACTCCCACCAGAAGCTTGACGACTTAGTTTTCGTGACCTCTACACCGTTACTCACCTGTCAGCTCATATTTGGTTGCTACGGGATACCAACAGGTACCGCTATGAAGCGTACAACATGTAATGGAGATGAAAGTGCCCACTGGACAGTTGTATGGTTCATGCTTATCACAGCGAGTACTCCTTTCTCGAACGGATCCCTCTTCGATGAGAAAGTTTTTCCTTTTCCGTCATACCCTCCCTCTAGGAACCAATCCTTCCGAACTGTTGATGAGGTGGAGCGTTTTCGAGCTTCTCCAGTGGCCTATTTCTCCCAAAGAGTAGACAATACAGTCGGTATGCTATATAACTTTGACTCAAATTTATTAGTGGACTACCACTGATACACTACACTGCTTCGTTTATGGACTGTTCTTGACTTCTGTGGGAGAACTTCACCGATAGCTTAACCCAGAATTGGTCCATTGCGATAGATGGGATGCTCTTTACGACGGGCTTCCCAGAAAAGTGCAGTCTAGTGGCGCATGTGTGTACCACACAATTGTAAACTTCGAATGGAAAACAACAGGGTTGGGATTCTTGGGGAGCGATCTTATGGTTATACGACTTACCATACATGCATGCCAAAGGATTCCACTAGATTTGTGCAAATCCGAATTTCAGGTCGGTTGAGTGGATTTTGCTCTTTTTTTGTGACAACCAGTGTGTGGTACTAATCGTGGTTGCATGTATCGATCCAAAATCCGAGGCTACGGTCCCGTAAGTCGGTGCGATCGAAGTGACGAGGACGATAGTGGTAACTTCGCATACTTCGAGGTTGTTTGTCGGTGACGTCGTTAATCCTTTTGGACCTTACGGCCATATATACATTCATTCTCACTTTCGATGCCGATATGGTGATCGCTGTGGCTCAAGGAAATCTTAAGCTATTTCTTCAAATAACGAAAAAGCCAATGGTGGTCGAATAAAAAGCGAAAGTAAAACCAATGACCTGTAAATAAAAACGTTGAAACAGTAAGATCCAGGTGCGCATGTCAACGGGATTGAAACACTAGAATTTTTGGTACCAGAAGGAGTGCAAATGAGGACGCCATCGTCGATAGACCTGGTTGCCGAATTTCCATCTGGTTCATATCCTGCTTGAACACTAAACTGCGCGTATGTTAGGATAAACATTCTTTTGCAAATGAACCAGGCTGGAATCCCCACAGTTTGTGAGTAGTATGAACAACTACTTTGAAAATTCGAATATCGTTTCAGCTGGAGACTGAGGTGGCCTCTGTGTACTACATTCAATTCATGGGTGGGAGATTCGGGTGGATGTCAGTCGAGTTCCCTGTCAACATCAACTCGGTTTACAAATGGGTCGAGCATACAATTGACCATCATCCTACAAGTTCTCCATTTCATACTAATATTTGTTAATCGCGTGTATGCAAGAATACCGAATATACTGAGGATTCATATCAGACGGCGCCCTCGCTAGAGCTATCAAAACACCGGGATATAAATAAATTTTCATCAATTCAGTGTGGTTAACGTGCAAAACAGTTTACTATGGGTCGCCCTTCCATGAGGAGACATGTTAGAATCTTTCAAAGGAGAGCACTGTATCATTTTTCGAGGGACGGATTATTCAAGAGTCTCTTTCAGACAGTTCATCAGAGTGACATGGAGTGAAAAACGTGTCGAAACCTACTTTCATATAAAAAGATGAGTGTGTGCTCATTCCCTGTCTGCTCGAGGCCCCAGCAAGGTTTGGAATATGTGTGAACCAAGGGCGGCTTATTTGCAGTGGGTCGCGTCACTTGCCCCACTTTAGATCGTTGAGTGTTGTTGTGTACCTACAGGTAGGCCATCCAAAGGACCCAATAAGTGTGGTTTTGTTCAAGCTATGGCCTTTCGTGCGAAGAAACCAGCAGAAAAATATGCCCAACATTTTTGTGATGTTGATCCAGTTAAAATTTTCCCATCCGGGAGTCCAACTGGCGCCTAGGAAACTAATGCGTGGTTGTGAGCTTGTTAGCCTAGCTTGGCATTTGGATTATGAAAAGGCATCAACCAGGCAGTGCACCTAGGCCCCGTATTTCTTATATATATA